CTGTGTTCAGGATTTTAAGAGAAAGAATAGAAGTAAGGATCCGAGTACAAACAGCAGAGCATTGAGAAGACTAAGAACACAGTGTGAAAGAGCGAAAAGAACTTTATCGAGTAGTACACAAGCTACTATAGAAATAGATTCACTTTTTGAGGGTATTGATTACTCTGTTTCTCTTTCTCGTGCTAGATTCGAAGAACTTTGTATGGATTACTTCAGAAATTCACTTGTACCTGTAGAGAAAGTATTGAAGGATAGTGGTATAGATAAGCGAAGTGTACATGAAGTTGTATTGGTGGGAGGATCAACAAGAATACCGAAGATACAACAACTTATACAAGAATTTTTTAACGGAAAAGAACCATGTCGTTCTATAAACCCAGATGAGGCTGTTGCATATGGTGCAGCTGTACAGGCAGCTATATTAAAAGGAGTAAATAGTTCACAAGTACAAGATCTTTTGTTGCTTGATGTTGCTCCTCTTTCTCTTGGTCTAGAGACAGCAGGAGGTGTGATGACGAAATTAATAGAAAGAAATACAACAATTCCTACAAAAAAATCACAAATATTCACAACATATGCAGACAATCAACCGGGTGTACTTATACAAGTTTTCGAGGGAGAAAGAGCAATGACAAAAGATAATAATTTATTAGGCAAGTTTCATCTTGATGGTATTCCTCCTGCACCAAGAGGAGTACCCCAAATAGAAGTTACTTTCGATATAGATGCAAATGGCATTATGAATGTTACAGCAACAGAAAAAAATACAGGAAAGTCAAACCAGATCACCATCACCAATGATAAGGGTAGACTAAGTCAGGGTGAGATAGATAGAATGGTTGCTGAGGCGGAGAAATATAAAGCCGAAGATGAAGCAAATAAACAACGTGTAGAAGCTAAGAATGCACTTGAAAATTATTGTTATTCCATGAGAGGAACCATGGAAGATGAAAAAATAAAAGATAAAATATCCGCAGAAGATAGAGAAGCTGCAACATCTGCAATACAGAAAGCTCTTGATTGGCTCGATAAAAATCAACTGGCAGAAAAAGAAGAATTCGAAGCAAAACAAAAAGAAGTTGAAGCTGTATGTACACCTATTGTTACAAAAATGTATCAGTCTGCAGCAGGAGCAGGGGGAGGGATGCCGGGGGGAATGCCTGGGGGGATGCCTGATATGTCGGGTGCAG